TATCAATTTCAAAACTGATTTCATCTATTAATTCAAAGGATGCGTTACAACAAGAGTTTATTATTTTTATTGGAGTTTTAGTTTTTTTGTGTGCTTGTAAAAAGCTTTGATTCAATTGACGCCGTGTCCTTTTGGACCCTCTCTTAAAGGCTGGTTTTGAAGTTGATAGTTGAATCAAGCAGAGAGACTGAAGGGTCTTGTGAATGTTGAGTGAATTTAGTGTTTTCGAATTTGGAAGTTGAGGGTTGAAGTTCTTTTGGTTGAGGTTGATCAGCTGGCAAAATTTATTTTGCCAGCTACAAAATTTATTTTGTAACTACCATTGGTACCTTCAATTGATTGAAGATTTTTTGTGAAGTGTTAAAAGATTAGGCTCACGATTTTGAATTTTTATAATATTTATTAGAGATAAAGATAAAATTTAGTAGCCGTGGCGCAGTGGTTAGAGTACTGGCTCAGAACCCAGAGGTCCGAGGTTCGACGCCAGCTCCAGCCCAAAAAGCGACATTGGCACGGAAGGAGGCGTGAACTTCCTATTAAATGCTCTCCCGCGGTGCTCTATGATAAGACCGTAAGGACTTCTGGGAGCACCTAAATACATACAAAAAAAAAATATATATATATATAATTTAACTAAGATTCTTAAGTGTATCCTTCTTTAATATCCTTTAAAACTAATAAAAATTTAATAATTACGAATTGGTTTTATCAAATTCAATTTATTTATAGCAAATAGGAACAACTCTTCCCATTAACTATCAATTATCTGCATTACAGCAAACTAATTGCTATTATGAATACTATTTGCCATAAATCCAACAAATCGCAAAAAACCGCAAAAATAGCGGAAATTTTTTTAAAAATCGCTGCGATAAATTTTAAAGCGATATTTATAGAGCAAATCGCCGGGCAAAATATTGCGCGTTAAAAAATTGCGTGCGATTCAATGCGATTTTTTATTGCTTTTTATTGCATAATCGAAAAAAATCGCTTTTGTATTACCCACCAATGCGGTAACGCCAGTGCCATGCAGTAGTTAATATACTTTAACTATTGTGTTATGTTGATGTTAAGGAAAAAGGAGACTCAAAGGAAAATAAAAACTAATTTTGACCTTGAAAAAATTATTTCTTTTGAGGATTTTTTTGGCAAAATGTAAAGATATTTCACTTGTATTGCCTGTAAGTGAAACTGATGTAAATGCAACTCTTTTTATGCTAGTCCTCTCAAAACATACCCATTAAAACACAATAAAAAACCGAATGGGAGTTAGTTATGAAAATATATTATAATTTTTAGCAATAATAAATTCATGTGAAACTAGACTGTTATTTTTATTAAATTTTAAAACAAAATATTGCGTTTTTGAATAGGTTTTGCTTTTACAAAAAACGCATTCAAAGTTACCCAATTTGTGGGGTAGCCTTGAATGACTAATTAAAGAAAGCGAAGGAAGAGCAAGTAAAAATACATAAAAAACGTTCAATGTAACCCCCAGTTCACGGTATTGTTGAAATAAAAAGTGGTTTAAAATTTAATCTTTTAATGATAGGATTTTGATAACAAATCAAATGGATCTATTTGGAACTCCGTCTCGTCGGGTTTTTCTTGTTTTTTCGGAGTTTTAGAGTTTGAGAGAAATTGAGAAACTTCGACGAAACTTCGACGAAGTTTTTAGAAAATATCAGTTTTTTACTGGTAAAATAATTAAATTCTTATTTTGTTTCTACGCTGCTTTTACAATAGTTCTTGTTCTTTTTAAATGTAAGTGTTCTCTTTGTTCAATAACAATACTAATTTGCATCGCAATGCAATTGGTAATGCACAGTGGGCCAGGTGGTGGTGGTGGTGGTGGAAAAATCCTCAAAAAGCTTATTCTATTCAAAACCATATAATGAATCATACTCGTACTTTTCCACTATTTCAAAAACTCTTTTGAGTATCTTTTAAATAATAGTATCTTTTTAAATCCACAAAAATCAATTGCGGTATAATTAAATGTAATGCATAATAAAATACCTTTTTTTTTGTCAAAAAAGCAAGAATTTTTTTAATTTTTAGCAAAGATATAGTAAACAGTAGCCCAATGGACACAGACGTAAAACAGACGTTTTTTAAACGTCTTATACACGTTTTGGACGTCTTTTGAACGTTTTGGACGTCTTTTGAACGTTTTGGAGGTCTTTTTTTGGTCCGGTACTTACTGGGAATTTTAAAAATATTATTCGTATGTTATATTAGTTAATATATTTTAACTATTCAGTCATTTACCTTTTCAAAAAATAAAAAAAATTTAGTCAAGATCATTATTTATAATATAAGCAAAAACTGGTCTTAAATTAACGAGGTAAGTTATAAGCATATATAACAAGTTATAAGCAGTGATAACAAGTGATAACAGTTAATGTTTAATTATACTTACCTATTAGATTAAATAACTTAATAACTTAAAATGTGATAACTTATCACAATTAAAATAAAATGAAAAACAAAAATCTGTGGTCATAATCATATTGATAATTTTTCTTTCATAGAGAAAAATGGTTTCAGTAGCGCGTGGAATTACTTTGATAAAGTTGTGGTAAATGATAAAAAATACGGAGATTGCAAAAAATATGATAAAAGAATCGCTTGTTCAGGAAGCAGCACAAACGGCCTAATTGGACACGTCAAAAGTAGCGAGAAAATAGATTTAAAACCATCCAGTTCTAGACCAGTTTTGACTACGATGTCATTAAACTATCTTTTTACCAAGTTGACAGCTCTTGATGGGTATTTGATTAGGTCCATAACTCAATTTGAAATACTAAGAATGCTTTTTGAAAATTATGGGCATAGTTTGCCCAAGTCAGCGTTCACAATTTCAGAAAAAATTAGGATATTTCATGCTGAAGCTAAATATTTAATGATCGCTAAATTGGCTGCATTGAAAGCGAAAGGGTATAAATTCTATTGCTAAATTGGCTACATTGAAAGCGAAAGGGGATAAATTCTATAGCTATACCATTCGTCACTAACAGGTGACAAATGGTATAGCAATAGAGGTAGAAGATACTAAAATTCAAATATTTATCACGACAGAACGTATTGTTTAGGATTGGTGAGATTGCCATCTCCTAGTTCTGCCGAAACATTAAAAAATTTTGATAACGGAAAAACTAAAAGCGTTTGGTAAAACTACGGACGGCTTTAGGTTGATGATGAAATTGGGTACCATATTTAAGCACCGCGGAAGGGCACCGCACCAAAAAAAAAACGTCTTTTGAACGTTCAAAAGACGTCCAAAACGTTCAAAAGACGTTCATAAGACGTCCAAAACGTGTATAAGACGTCTAAAAGACGTTTTTTTCACATCCGTGCCCACTGGGTTCCTAACCGATACCGGTTAGAAAGCCATTTGTTAGATAAAACTTGTTCGTTAAAAAATTGTGATAAAAAAAATATTAAAGTACTAAGAAATATAAAAATATAAATTTTTAAAAAATTTATAATGAATTATAAATCGAAATATATAAAACAAATACAAGAACAATGTTTAATTATCAACTAGATAGTTTAGTTTTTTAATTTATAACAAAATAATATCGAAACTTCTATTTTTTCTCGACTCCGACGGAGTTTTTACTCGATTTCTCTCGACTCCGTTTTTTCTTGATTTTGGATCCTTTGGAATTATTATATTCCACAAATTAGTTCTAGTTGTCAGGTTGGTATTTTTTACTTAATTAATGTTACTTTTTGAGCAAATTTAAAGTGCTCATATTACCAAGTGGTTTTGCTAACTTTTTAAAACCTCTGTGTTTTTAAGAAAATATTTCGGGTGCCCAAATATCTGAGTGGATCAAGAGTAGTGATCACAAAAAATTGTTTATTTGAAAAAAATTTGGATCCAGCATAATTATTTTTGAAAGTATTCTCATTTTTGCTTAAGGTGCCCATGATACTAATCTACCCTATAGATTATAAACAATAAAATTATAGAATAACAAACTATAATTTTATAAAAATCAAACGAATCTGTAACATTATAGTTTCAAACGTTTGTTCAAAGCATTATTCAGGATCATGTTGTTCTAAATATTATTCTGGATCATGTTGTTCTAAACGTTATTCTGAATGTCATTCTGAATCTAAAGCTAAACTTTTATCGACAAATAATCGACGTTCATTTGTTTATTGGGTCATTAGCATTTCTCACTTTCTTTTTCAATAAACCACTTTTCTACGAAATGGCACTAAAACTCATTTACATCGATTTTGAATTCTATAAAATTTTCTAGAGGTTTCACTCCAGTACCCCGGATGCAGAGCACCTCGACATCCACATAGTAAATATTGTGTGCAATATTGTATAATATGAATCGGTATGATAAGATACATATAAAAGGAACATACAATTTTTATGGTTCTTTAAAAAAAGAAACATAAAAATAATAAGAAATAACAGTTTAATAAAAGAAATAACATTTAATAAAACGAATAACATCTCAATAAAACAAACAACGATTTAATAAAACCCAGTGGGCGCAGGACATAAAAAAGACGTCTTTTAAACGTATCGAACGTCTTTTGAACGTTCAAAAGACGTCTATTAAATTTATTAAAACAAACTTTAAAAAAACAAACAAACTGAGATTAGACCAATACTGCGATTAAAAAAATTTAACAAAAATTAATCAATAAACTTATTTACATGAATAAAAGAAAATTTTAGTAAAATTTTTTTTATTTTTATATAATACTTTTTAATTTGAGACTAATCGTTACTGCAACTTTGTTTTACTAAATACTAAAACTTTGTTTACATGCGTTTTTCAGTTAATTTTTTTTTAATAAATTTCATCAAAAAAGTGTTAGTGTTTTTATAAAAACCCCGGGTTGTCAAATTATAATTGTTTAAAATAAACATTTTTTATAATAAACCAACTTATACTTAAACTACTTAATTTACTGAAAAATTTGCAATTTATTTAATACAATTAATTAATAAAAAATATTACCCTGTCAGTTGACTTGCATTGATTCCACCAGGTATCACGAATTGCATCTCTTCTATCTTTTCTATTTGGTGCAGAGGATACTATAGCTATAATATTAAGCTTTTTGCGGTTTTTGGCTTTTTTTATGTTAAATTTTGCATAAATGATATTTTCATTAAGGTTTTCAAACTTATTTGCTTTTTTATGCCAAGGTAATTGTTCTTGGATACCACTCGTATTTTGACGACTATTATATACAGAAAAAAAACTTTTTAGTCGACTAGTAACTGACTTCGGAACAACAGCAAAATAAATGATAAATAGTTTTACTATGATTAAAATAAAAACTGCTTGTCGCACATATTGCCTCATTTGTACGTTTTTTAAAAGTAAATAAAATAAAGTTTATCTAAACAACACTGTTTCATAAGTGCTACAAGTTTTGTTGACTTAATTTTTTAAAGAAGTTTTAAACAGGAAATATATTCATGACACGTATAATAAATAGGAATAATGTTACTAAATATTGAATTATATAGACGTGAATTAAATATTGTTGAACTAAATTTGTTGTTACTATTATAAATCATTATTCAAATTAAAATGGCTAGTTACCATTCAAATAAAATACATAATTATCGGTGATCAGGAATTACACCATAGTTACTAACAAGTCAAATAAGTGACGCTTAAAAACATAAAAACGTACAAAGAAACAAATTAAGAAAAAATTAAAAAAAAAAATTAAATTAAAACAAAACAATAATTAAATAAAAAATTTGAAAAAAATATGAAAAGAAGCTTAATTTTAATATGATATTAATAATAATTTAAAATAATATTAATAATAAAAACAATAATATTAATAACAACAATAATAATGTAAGTAATAATAAGTATAATATTAACAGAGATATTAATAAAAATAATAATTAATATTAATATAATATAAAACTATATGTATAGGCAATAATAACTATTATAATAATGGAAATAAAAAATATTACTATTCTAAGAGTTTACCTAATATAAATAATTGTTGCTATAGCTATAGTAAATAAAAGCTATAATAATACTATTGATATTAGCAGTGATAATTTCCATCTATGACTATTAGCAGTCACAATTTTTATCTATGACTATTAGCAGTGATGACCAAAAGCATTAAAAAAAAACAGCAAAAAAAAAAAGATGATTTGCTAACCATTTCGTAACCACTCTTACGTTGAAAAAGTTAAAACTTGTTGAACAATTTTCGAATAAATTGATTTTATTTTCATAAAAAGATTTTTGGCTATACCTAAAAAGCATTAGCAAAAATATAAAAAATTTATAGTTTTGTTAAATTTTAAATTAAAAGCATTTGTGGTTGAAAAAATCTTAAACTATACAATGGTTGTCTTTTTTAAATTTAAATGTGTTAATTTACCATACATTTAAAGTTATACAATTAATAGAAATAAAGCGTTTAAATAGATTACATGAACAGATAATTAAAAGTAAAATAAAAAATATCAGTCGCTACATTTTTTGATACATAAGAACTTAAAGCCAAATGTGTACTTTTTTGGCAAAAAAATGAGAATTTTCATGCAAAATAAACTCAGCTTTAACATTTTAAAATTAAGTTTTAATGTGTCCATTGGTTGTTCAAAAAAATGAGAATTTTCATGCAAAATAAACTCAGCTTTAACATTTTAAAATTAAGTTTTAATGTGTCCATTGGTTGTTTTTATTTTTTGTATTTCGTTCCATCGTTTTGGTCACTTGTTGCATTTTTTTTTTTTGCAATGTTTATTGCGTGGATTGACTCTCCGATAAGCGACGGCGAATATTGTTTTCATTAAACGAATAGCGAATAGCGAATTGCTATTCGTTAAACTTCGTTACCGAAATACCGAATAATATTGCGATTCGTAGTTTAGGTGTGTTTTTCAAATATCATATTAATAAATTTTACAACGCAACCATTCCAAGTTGCATTCCAAAAATTAGTTTTAAAATTTTTTTTAGAGCAATTTAATAACAACAAAAAGAAAATAAATAAAAAATATATTAGTGACTTTTATACATTAGATTTTTATATATTATAAATATATTAGTGACTAATAAAATTTGAAAAACAAAACCCATTTAAAGTATGTTTAGAATGTATTTAGCGCGTGTTGTTTGAATTTTCAATTTAAAAAATGGCATACTTGCACTAACATGTAACTAAGCAACAATCATTAACACCTAATCATACAAGATAATAGATGGTTAAACTATCAACGTTTCAAAGATATAAAGTAAAATAATACTGGATTTTAAAATTTTAAAATCAGACAGGTCTCTAATAGGTCCCAATTATTCACAAAAAAAAAAAATCAAAACTATGTCATGTTGGGTCTCAAAAGGAGCGAAACTTTATAAAAATTTTAAAAAAACTGTTAAATCTTTTTTTTGTTTTTTAATGGTAAAAAACCATAATTTTTATTGGGGTTGAAAAATTCCGGAAATTTTCCAGGAAATTTTTCTCATAATTTCAGGAAGTTTTCAATAAAAATTTATTGCTATAAACTTATAGTTATAATAAAGTTTTATAAAATTCATTTCTTTGTTTCAAAAATATGCGTTTTATCATCGTATTATTTGGGTATTTATTAAATATTTCAACTAAGTTATAAAATAATAAAGACCGACAAGCAAAAAACGCACATCTTTAATTAAAATTTTATATTCATTTAATAATCAATTTAAGAACCGCGTTTTTTAAAAAAAATAAAATAAAACGCTCAAGTTGTTATATGTTATTTTTACTTACATTTAGAGGTGGTTCTACGTATAAAATGAGGGGGAGGGGTAAATCCTTAAAAAGTACCGACTGGTTCTTTATAAAAAGAAAAAAGGTCATCGAAACTAAAATTCACCTGACTGAATTGTGTCAATTACCCGACAACCCGACTAAAAGTCGGTATTTTGACTAAATTCGTCAAAATACCGACCATAACTTTAAAATTTATTTATTTTATTTGTATATATGTATGTAAATATACGTTTACAGATCAATTTTTACACTAGTATATCAGTTTGGGTGCCAAATATTTAGCCCTAACTCTGGGTTGTATATTTTTATATATACAACCCAGAGTTTTAAGTATGAAGTACAGCAGTTCTAGAATGTTTGCAAAAGAGCCAATATTAATATTTTTTGACACAATTCAGTCGGGTGAATTTTAGTTTATTAAGGACCTTTTTTTTTTATTACTTTTAAGAAACCAGTCGGTACTTTTTACGGATTTAGCCCCTCTCTTTTTTTAATTTTTTGATTTATAAAGTCAAAAGTGCCCTAGCAAGATTGTGGTGAGTGAGACTTAAGTCTTAAAAACACTTATTTAAACATAGCGGTGGAATTTATGACCTCGAAATCATTAGTTTATTATTTTTATTGCTAACTTTATTTTTAATTAGTTCAAATTTAGAAAAAAAAATTTCTTTACATTTTGCCTTTCATTAATCAATAACGTCTTTAAATTAAGAAAAAATTGCAAAACCTGTAAATATTCAATCAAGTTTTTTTATATATAATTTTACAGTTGTCAGTAAGCCAGTTTAATAGATACAAATGTCAAACTAATTTAATAGATACTATGTATAATGTCATCGTAATAAGTCATCTTTTTATAATTCGAAAGCTCTCTAATTCGAACTTTTATTTTTTCCGATAAAGTTCGAATTAGAGAAATTGTACTGGGTTGAGAAATGCCCTATCCCCTTTAGGGATGGGGTTGCAAATTATGTTAAGCATTAAACCAAGCTTGCTACGGCAATGAACATCAATATGCTAAGGTAAAACAGTTTTAGAAAATTTTGAAAACAAATTATCGTAGTTGCTACTTAAAGTTATAATAAAAAAACTCAACAAAAAAAACAAAAAAAGTGTTTCTCAAAGAGGGCTTTCTAAAATTTTTATAATCTGTTTCACAATATTTTACCATAAAATTGTCCATAACAACTGCCTAAATAAGAAATAAAGTTTTACTCATTAATTATAAAATAACTTGAAAGTTTTTCAAAAAAAAATTCTTTTGGTATTATAAGAGTCCTGTCCAGAGGCGTGTCTAGGGGATGTCTGCTACGTCGTTGGACGTACCCAAAAAAATTAAATAAAAGTTTTTCAACTTGATTATTTTGTTGAAAAAAGTCTTACTATATGTAACTATTAAAACCAAAATACAGCTAAAACTAAACAAATTATGCACGGTTAATTATCTGAAAGGGTTGGAAAAAAGTTAAAAACCGGAAAATATAATTGTATATCGGTTTCATAATTTTGCGATTGTTAAAAAATAATACTTTCTTTTTGCCATACACCCTGCCTAACTTGTGTTTTATTAAATCAATTTATTTTATAAATCATAACGTGGCCGATGATTAGTTCAAAATGTCACTTAATTCACGAGTATATAGCATTATAGAGTATGTTAAAAAAGAAAGGCATCATTTCCTTTAAAGTTAGGCGACCAAATATTATATTAATTGTGTAGAATTTTTAATATCACAATATCCTTTGGATACAAGAAACAAAGACAGAAAGTTATTACAAGTAGAAGCTGTTTATAGTTGCACCGATAAAAACTAGTATTGGTTTCTTGGTTTTCTTTGATAATTAAGAAGAAGATTTTAGATGTATAAATAGACGCATTATTGGAAGTATAAATTAGCCATATTGTTTATCCTTTATGAGAATCATGATAATCATAATAGAAACTATGATGAACGACATAAACTTTATGTAGTTCATCAGATTCTCATAAAATACTAAATAAACAAGTTTTTCCTTTATGATAAAGGAAAAATTTGCTTATTTAGTATTTTAATAAATGTTATTACTGATTTTTTTTTGGATGTTATGGAATGTGAAATTGTGGCATGGATACTTTACAAAAATAAACCTGTGGTTTTCTGTCTCAAAGAATGTCATTAATGGTGCAGCCTCTGCTACTGCTTCTTCTACTGAAGTTAATAACTAATTTTGATTTTATTCATTTACTGTGTATAACAAGACATGTTTTTAATATAACTTTTTTAATTACACGATTGTGCAAGTAATAATGATATTTTTTATAGTTTAAATCTTATTCAAGCATTAAAAGGTTTTGTCTCTTGTTAGAAATATTATTAATCAACACCTTCAAATATGCTTTTAAACAAGCCTAACAATTGCATTTCAAATTATTTTAACTTGGTTATTACTGTTTCTTTGCTAGACTGTCTGATTACTGAGTTTAACACAATGTTTGATTGATTGATACAATTTTGAAGTGTTATAAAGCACCTGTGTTTTAATTTCTTCTTTCAAATATTCAGTTTCTTATAAAAACAATTGCAGAAGTTCAATATTTTTTTATACTAGTTGGGAAGACCAAATCATATGTTTTAGTGTCTTTTGTTTAACCAAAGTCTTTATTAGGTTTATTTATTATTTTTAAACCAAAGGCTTTATTACTTGAATTTCACCTGTGGAAGTTTAGTTGAATTTCACTTAACTGCCTGAATTTCAAAAATGAACTTTAATCTAATTATACTGAAACGTTACAAGCCTTTTCTTTACTGAGGTGTCTAAAAGGTTATAAGAGAATATTAAGTAGACGTTGCAAAGCAAAATGACAGATAAAGTCTAAATGGTTTAGTTTAGCTAGTCTATAGATAGTAAACAAGTTTTTAACAAGTTTGTTATAAATAGTTATGAGTTGTGTTTTAAATAAAACTTTTCTAAGTTGTAATGTAATGTCAAAGCTTTTTTTTATTAAACAGCTATTTTCATAACCAGAAATCTTTGTAAAAACATTTAGAATTGTACAGTTATTGCAATAAATTTTTTGACTCTAAATATTTATTAAGTTTATTTATAATTAAAAGTTATTTATAAAATTATATAAAAAAAATTTGCACAGCAGTATCTTGGAAATTGTTTTCACAAATTTTGTAAAAACATGAACATATTATGTACATGCGGCCGTGGCGCAGTGGTTAGAGCGCTTGCTTTATAAGTAGGAGATCCAGGTTCGAAACGAGCTTTAGACATATTTCGCGTCACGGTAAGGAAGGAGGCGTGAACTTCCTGGTTAAATGCAATTCCGCGGTGCTCTGTGACAAGACCGTAAGGACTTCTTAGGGCACCTAAATAACAAAAAAAAAAAAAAAAAAAAAAAAAAAAAAAAATTATACATTACGATAACTGAGTATTTTCAGAAAATAATTTTTTTAGTTTGCAAAAATCATATTTTGAGCAATAGTGACCATTTTATCAATTACAAGTCGTTTAAAGAATTAAAACATTTTTATAAAATACAATCAATTTTTTACAATCAAAAAATAGTCAAATCTGGTCCCCCTTCCCTCCCCTAAAAAAATTAGGAGGCTTTCCCTCATCCCCCGCCAGGCTTAAACATGAGAACAACAAGTTGATAAAATACTTTTTTTTTACTATTCTTACCTTATATTGATAGATTTAGATTCATTGATTGATAAACTAAGATTGATAGACTCATTCATAAGATTGATAGATTCATTCATAGTGGCTGGAAAGCTTAGTTGATTGTGGCTGGATAACTCAGTTGGTTAGAGCTTCAAACGAAAAGTTAAAACCCTGACTGTTGTATGATACGAGTTCAAAATCTGCCAACTCAGCGCTTGAGTAGTACTTCGGTACGCAAAAATGTTGGTCAATAACGGACGCTACTTTGGATTAGTCTCTTGGATGACTATTTGTAGCTGTTCCTATGCTATGCCAATAATATCTTCGGATATAATAACATGGTATAGAAAAATATATCCTGAAAATTGAAATAAATAAATAAAAAAAAAAAAAAAATTGATAAATTTTAAGCTTCATAGTGTAATCTCTCAGCGTTCAAAAATTATGATCATATAAAATTTGTAACCCCCTCAAACTTTATTTATTAATTTTTTAATGTACAGAACCATATATTATTGTTATTAATACATATTATTATTGAAAAAATTATGGTTTATAATGAAATTATTTATATAATCTGTTTGTTAACATTATGTAAAGTATTTGAAAATAATATTCTAACAAAGAAAATCTTTATTTTATTTTCTTTTGAACCCGAACCTTACCCGAAAAACTATAAAGTTTTGTATACATTTAGCACAGTATTACAGTCTAATTTTATGAATGCATATCTTGTAAATATGCATTCATAATATTAGACTTTGTGCAACTTAGAGTGCAACTAAACAAAAAGAGGTAGCAGCAACAAAAAATACAATCAACAAACTTGTCGAAAATCGTGAAAATGCCTGCTCGGGTACCTTTTAATGGAACGGTGCTACCCGTTAAAAAACCTTTTTTTTTTATAAAAGCTGTACTGAAATGTTGTATTGACTGTTTAAGTCAATAAAAACTTTTCATTTAACAATCTTATTTATTTAGAGTCTTTTTCACTTATATATAAATTTTATTTTACACTTTGATCATGCATGTGGAATGAGTTACCTAACATATTCTGTCTGCTATCTTAACTTTTCAAAATGAAGGTTTAGGAAGGGGGGGGGGAGGACGTCTGGCACGGCGCTGAATGCAACTGAACTGAAACAAATAAAAGAAATTAAATCATAACAATCAAACAAAAAAGACAGCAGCCAAATATTAGGCGACACTTATAATCGATTAAGAAAATACTATCGACAAAACGTAATGAACCGAATACTACCATAAATACTACCAACTAAACATAATTTATCTAAAGTGTCAATGTCTGTTTTTAAATGAACAGCGTGTTTTACGGCGCGTGTTCATTACAGCGAATTTGAATTTAAAAAAAAAAAATTTTCAGAACTCATTCGTTTTATGTTTATTTTTATTTGATTAAGTAAGAAACTGTTAAGTGGGAGGAAAAAAAAATGATAATGGAAGAAGTAATGGAAGAAGTTCAGAATTTATTTGAAACATTCAAAAATGATGAAAGTTGTTTTGAACTTGATATTTCATCTTATGACATAGAGGAAATTCCACATTCTTTATTTAATTTGCCAACCAATAGACTCAAGTTTCTTATTCTTGACCACAATATCTTAACATCATTGCCTTTTGATATAAATAAGTTGGTTATGTTAAGAAAATTAAGTATTGTTGGTAACGAGTTAACCGAATTAAGTCATAGTTTTTCTTCATTATTGTATTTAGAAGAATTAAATCTTAACGAAAATTTATTGACAGTTCTCCCTTCTGATATTGGAAAATTACAATCTCTTCAAATATTTTCTGCAATTGGAAATAATCTAAGATCTCTACCACCTAGTATAACACAGCTTGAATCATTAAAAGAGCTGCATCTCGATGAAAACAAAATATCCTATCTTCCTTCTAAATTTAGTGGTTTAAAGTCATTAATTGTATTAGACATTCTAAATAATTGCTTAGAAGAACTTCCTATAGATATAGGGAGTGTTAAAACTCTGCAAATTTTAAACTGCAATGGTAACTTGCTTCGATCACTCCCAGACAGTTTTTCCAATTTATCATCACTAAAGTTTCTTGATCTTGGTAGTAATAACATAGATGAACTACCAGAAACTTTGAGTTGTGCAAAAACTATTGAAAAACTTTTCTTAGAAAATAATATGTTGAAAATAGTACCATTGTGGTTTCATGAATTACATAGTTTAGAAGAACTTTCAATACATGATAATGAATTGCAACATCAACCCTTTGATAATTTATTTTGTAAAAGTTGTTTGAAATTAAAGAAAATAGAAGCAGGAGCAAATTTTATTTTTTCTTTGCCACCACACTTTGGATCATTAACAAATTTGGATTACTTGCACCTAGGGAGCACAAAAAGTGAACTTGAACGCAGCCATTTCCAAAATGGAAACTGGATTACAACTTTGCCGGATTCATTTTGTGAACTTTCTAAGTTAAAAAAATTGAATATAAATGAAAATCAAATTGAACTACTACCTTTACAATTTGGTGAACTTAAATCATTGACTTGGTTAGATTTGGGTCAGAATATGCTTCGAGTTCTTCCACCTTCATTTTGTGAACTTACAAACTTAGAGTTTTTGCAACTTTCTAAAAATATGTTAGTGGAGTTACCTGAAAACTTTGGAAACTTAAAAAACCTCAAAGATTTAAGATTAGATAATAATTGTCTCAAAAAATTACCTATATCAATTGAAAATATTTTGGGTCTTCAATGTTTAGATCTTTTTCACAATAATCTCACAGAAATGCCGATGTTTGTTTTTAAGTTAAAAAAAATTATTAGGCTAGATTTAGATCAAAATTTATTTCAACTTAGCATTGCAAATGTACCAAAAATTCTACCAAGTAAGTTTTTTATTTTTTGGATACTTAAAATAAACTTAAAATTTATATGATTTATGCAGGCTTAAGTTATGTGTATTCTGTATGCCATATTGTCAGGGCTAGATTTACCTATAGGGCAACTAGGCTGTAGATCAGTGCCTCATGATTTTGGGGGCCCAAAAGTGGGTTCAAAGAATGTTTGCTAGGGTTTTTAGAGAGCTAATAAAAAAGTCTTTAATTTAAAAAAAGTTTTTTAACAAGAAAATTTAAAAATAATAAAGCTCTAATTGCAAATTTTTACTTTATTTAAAAACACTAAAATTATGGTTTAAAAAAATGAATTGAATATAATTAAAAATAAATTAAGAAACTTTAAGCAATCGCTTTTTGTTTGTGATTTCAAAAACATTTAAAATTTTGTTATTATTATTTATTTATTCCTCTTCTTCATCATCTTATTATTTTTATTTTTATAATTATTATCATTACTAATATTATTGCTATTATTAAATATATATATATATATATATATATATATCCATATAGTGTAGTCGAAAGAGCGTTTTAATGTAAAAAAAGTCTCTTTCGACTACAATTTTAATTACCTCGTCTCTTAAGCTGTATTTGATTGTCGTCGAAATGTCAAAGCAATTAAATTAATGCGGAAGTACATTAAATTTTATTGTTTTTTGAAAATTTTTTAAAAAACCGCAATTATAACGACTAGAAAGTTTTTTTTTATTAGTGATGTTTTTGTTTTTATTTTATTAAAAAACATTTTTAAAACATGCGTTAATGTTGCTACATTGACTATCTTATAGCCTGACTCGCAACAGAGTGCTGCTACATCGACTGACAAATAGCCTGACTTGCAAGGGAGTGCTGCTACAACGACTGACAAATAGCCTGACTTGCAAGGGAGTGCTGCTACATAGACTGAGGGTTTGGTTTGGGCAGGCAGTCTATCATTAAAAAAAAAAATTTAAGTTTTTAAACTTTTTCTAGTCTGGTTTATTAACGCGTTCTTTAAAACTACAGTTTATGGAAACTCTTTTTAACTACCATGCAAGAGTATATATATATATATATATATATATATATATATATATATATATATATATATATATATATATATATATATATATATATATATATATATATATATATATATATATATATATATATATATATATATATATATATATATATATATATATTAAAAGTCATTTACTCAACACATTCACTGATTTTGATTAACATTCAGGTTCTTTGAAATTAATATTGGAATTTTTTTTCTTTTTACTGCTATTATTATGTCATCTTACGGCAGAGTTGTATCCAGTTCATTTTCAACATGCATGTTCTGTCGACGCTCATGTTTTAAAGTAGCCCTACAATCATTTTGTCAAATCAAATTTAGTTTACTTAAAGTTCGTTCACCTTCTGCGACAGGGGCAGCGTAACATTAAAAAAATTCAAAATGAGCATGCAAAAAAATTCAACTTAGCAATCATTAGCATAGCAATGCATATATAATAGGCTATAGACACTGAGTATATTTGTTTGAGAAATTCTAAAGTATTTCCAGAATCTGTAGAATATAAAATTCCAGAACTTGTAAAATATAAAATTCAACTTATAAGTTGAATTTTATATTCTGCAACTTCAGTCTTTCTTTTCAAACTCAGCATATAATTTAAAAAAATTTAGGGCTTATTTAAAACAACTTATCAAAGTATATCCAGAACATCAAGATTTTTTTGCAAACCGTGTTGGAATAAATTAGCGCATGATGTGAACTAAAAGAGTTTATGATGCAGCCTAAGCAACATCATAAACTCTTTTAAAAGGTCAATTGTCAACATATGAAAGCCTGGTGTTGCTTTCTTTCATCAATATTAAACTTTTTATGAAAAAGTTTTATTGTTTATTTTAATAAATAAATAAAGAAATTTTGTTTTTAGTTGTAGTCCTGTTAGATAAAAGATTATGCTTTAGAAGCTTTTGAACACCTCGAAGAACACAATTACCCAATTACCTCAAACTTTAATACAAAGTTGCTTGTCATTTACAATATGTTGTAAGTGACAACCAATTTTGTATTGCAGTACAAGGTATTTATGTTCATTGAGTGTATTTAAGCCGAGTGTTTTTAGTGTTTGATTGTAACTAAAGTGTTAATGATATTGCATGTTGTTGAACATATTTAATGAGAGAAGAAATTTTTGAGGAATGACCAGGCTTGCACACAAAATCTTTGATGCAGTAGTTATTCCATAGCTGGAGAGCTCCGATACCGAAATGCCTTCTTGAGACAAGCAATCATTTGATTGTGAACCAAAGCTGCTGCTTCTACTTGTACTTTGACTTTGAGGTTGTTGGGTATTAGTATTTCAAGATCTTGCTCAATGCATGCTGGAACTAGATTGTGTCTGTTATCATCAATGTCAGCTTTGGTAATTGGCCTTTGCGACAACCAACTTTCATTAGTTTACACTTCTCTGCGTTAAAATTCACAAGGCAGATGTGCAACTGATTTACAGTGCTGTCAAGTCCATTTGCAACTTTTCATAATACTATGTAACAAATTTTCTCTTTTGTTCTGTTTCTGGGTTGAAAGTGGGTTTTTCTAACCCATTAGATTTAGAACAGTAAGGAAATCACTGTTTTTCCAAAAAAACTTCAATACTTTACTACTTGCTACAATGAAATTGTGTGTTTTCGAGAAAATTCTTGATTTGCTTTCAATGCCATGTTTCCTCCTACATATTCCTGAACAGCTAGAGATGTCCAATATTCCTGAACTGCTAGAGATGTCCAGATGTTTCTACAATTCTCCTAAACACTCTAGAATACTTAAGAAACTTCCAAAACTTTTGAGAAACTCAGAACTTTCTAGAATGTTCTTGAATGTTCCAAAAGTAGCTGTACAAGTATAAAAGCACAGGTGTCTCAAACCAAGATTCTAATTTGTGTTATTACAGACTGAAAGTATAGCAATTTGTAGTTATCCTTTGTAGTTGTTGTAATTGAAGAGAAGTTATTTATTTGATATGGCATCAACAGGTTTTTTGCATCCAGCTGATTCATTCTGCTACCTGTGCGGGCAATACATAAAGACAAGAATGAAAAAAGTATTGCGTGGAAGCAAGTCATATAATGTGCAAGGCCTACAGGGCATACTTCGGCGTGCCGATCGGGGATGAAGACAAATCTTAGGCATCGCTTTTCACATATTGCAAGAAAACACCTAAAGGTAAACTGAACAGTTATTAAATGAAAGTTATAAAGTTATTAAATGAAACATAAAAAAAAACAGAAAAGAAATATATATATAATAAAAATTTTTATTTATCATCTTGTGAGCAAAAGAATATTTATACAACTTTTGGTTGCAAAAAAAAAAAGTTTGCTTAGATATCTATTTACCAATAAAAAATAAATTAATAAAAAAAAAAGGTTAAATTTTATTTTATCTTTATTTTATACTATGATATTTTACTTTGTTTTTATTTCATTGTCATGATTAATTTTTTTGCTTGAAATTAATTTTTTCGCTAATACTTAAAGCATGAAGCAAAGATAAATAATATAATTCTGATAAAAAAGATATGATTTAATTTAAAACTAATTTAATAAAAATAATAATTTAATTTTGATTTAAAAAAATAATAATTTAATTTTGATTTAAAAAAATAATAATTTAATTTTGATTTAAATATACTTAATATAATTCTGATTAAAAAAATACTGGTTTCAACTTAACTGTCAAATTTATTTAAAAATATTATTAAATACTAGCAAAAAGCAACACGTAATATGGGTTATGGTTGGTCTGTTACATAAAGAATTTATAGTGGCTGTTTTCCACAACTTAATTTTGCAAAACCTTAAGTAATACCCTTTTAGAAAAACGCCTTCAAATTGAAAAAATTAATCCATCTGTAAAATTAACATTAAAAGTATAAAGTAAAATAATTTACCAATTATTACTTAACATTATTTGAGTAACTGATGTAATTCATAACAGTGTAAGGCAGAACCATTTTCCTCGACATTTCTAAGTTCAACACAATACGTTTTTAGTTACTGATACGAAATAATAACACTTCATCATGCTTAAAATTGATGAAAATATTCACTAAATCCTTGTAGTAATTTTTATAACATGAACTTTAATTAATTATTAAGATTAAGTTAACTTATATTATAAAGGAGTTTGGTATCCCCTTGATTAATTTTTCTTTAGAAAAGAAAATTGTTATCTTAAAAACGTTAAATGCACACAACTAAATAAATTTATTAAAAATAACTAAGTTTATTATAAATGACTAAGCAACTGAATACAAATACGTTTCAAACAAAAAAAAATTAATTTACAATCAAACATGTGTATAACAAATTTAAAAAAATATGTAAACTTAGATCTTTTATATTGCATTAATGCGTCAAATGACAAACCTAAAATAAAAATTGTAACAGATAAGTAGACATAAAAAAAAGAAAAAAAAAACTGGAAAAGAATTTACCTGCTTTCGGTATACTGTTGTGATACTTCAGTTGTTGTCATGATGCAGCAGTTCTTGTCTTTTAGCAAACTTTAGTTTAATTTAAAAGACATCACAATGTGTTTAAAATACTTTAATTAAAAAGCAAAATATAGAATACTTTAAGTAGCCAAACTATAAACATTAAAAATAAAAAAATCAAATTGATGAAAAAAAGTTGCATTTATATAGCTAAATAAATTGTCTTGGCTTATAGTAAATTTTAAAAGCAGTGAGTTTAATAAATGAAACTACTAATTAATTATTTTTAACAAAAGCATGTTGCAAGTTAAAAAAAAAAAATTACAAAATTATAAAAAAAAAATATATATTACCGAAGAAAAAGCGGCAACAAAAAAGTTATAAATATCTTCACTGATAGAAGTTATTTACAACTTTTTGGTAGCCGCTTTTTCTTCGGTGTCTCCCAACACCCCTGTATGGATGAGCCCTCCATTTGAAGGAGGGCTCATC